AAAAAAAAAAAAAAAAAAAAAAAAAAAAAAAAAAAAAAAAAAAAAAAAAAAAAAAGTTTTTCCAGCATATAAGCGGCCACTCACGACAGCGTAAATTAAAACTCGAGGTTTTCAGTATGATTCTACGAGGAATAGGCAGTTCCCTTCGGAATTTCTCGCTCCTTTCTAAAAATTCTGATGATTTAAACAGCTGAAGAAGGAATTCTCAAATTATTTGAAATAGTTTCCTCAATTATTAACTCCTCTTCACTCATGGCAGTATGTATAAGGTAACTCGACCCAGGTTCCGAGCGAGACGTCGAACTGGCGCAAAGTGGATGGAGTCAAAAGGAGAGGTCGGACAAAATCTGGAAAGGTTAAGAGATCATAACTCCATTAATACAAAAATTTGAGGTTTTAATAGTGAATCCATTGGTTTCCTCGTGAAATTTGCTCCTAGAGGCATCCCTTAAAATTTAAATTGTGACGAAATAAACATCAAAATTTGCAGTTATAGTTAAAACTTTTATGTCCGACCTCTCTAGTTGATTCGATCCACTGTGTGGCGTGCAACGTATCGCGTCGAATAAATAACAAAAAAATCTTAGCTGCAGACTTTTTAAATTTTCAGCTAAAAATTGCGGTGGCAAGCAGGAAGCAGGAAGCAGCTTTGGAAAGCAGTATCATCACTATTTTATTCTTTGACAGATTTGAGTGTATAACACAGGTACTAATTTGAGTACTACCGCTTTTTCAACAATTTTTATCCACCTATTAACTTGCCTGATGTATTGATTTCCTTAAGAATTTGAGAAAAACCACATTTGATTGATCAGAGTGTTCAAATTTTGGTAATTTGACATCAAATTCGAAATCCGCGATTCAAACAGCAAATGAAGTCGAATTTACTTACCAAGTCCGCCATTTTTGGATCCTAAGAGCTCCTTCCCAAGAAGCATTTTTCCACGGAAAAATCGTGATTTGTTGCGATTTTGTCGGCGATGGAATCGCTAAGATCATCAACATCTGAGAGATTATCCTCGATCTTATTGCAATAAAATTGCAATTTTATCGCCCGGCAATTTATTGCGATATTATGGCAACAAAAATCGCGATATACGGCGATTTAATCTCAATTTTATCGACGAAAATTGATCGCGAATTTATTGAACAAAAAATTGCGATGCATAGCGATTTAATCGCCATAAATCGCAATTTTTTATTCGATAATATTGCGATGAATTGCCACCGATATAATCGCGATAATCAACCGATAAAATCGCTATTTATCGCGATCACTGCTACTGGGTAGGCGGTTTTCTACGAGTGGGTTTGGTCGACTATTTCAATCGGATCGGCAGGGTTGCAAACCAAAGGTGAAAAACGCTCTGCTGAAGTCAAACTTTAATTTCAATTGCTCAATTGGACTGAATTTTGCAATTTGG